CAACTGTCCTCTGTAAACTATGCCTTTTGTTTCCTTTCCTTTTGTGGTTCCTGTCCTCTTTTTTTTGCGACCCCTTAGGGTACCGACAACCGTGTGGTCCCTTTTCCAATTTTTTTAGCGTTTTCTTTTTCTTTGCTATTCGCTTGAGTTTTTTGCCCAAATTATTTTTCTTCCGTTGACTGAAGTCATCATGTACAGAGGTAATCCCGTGTCTCTACCACGAGTCCAGTGTGTTCCAGCCTCGTTATTCGTTCTATAGGACAGCAGAAAAGGAGTGAAAGGTAGAAGAAATCAGGTTTAATTTTTCTCGTATGACTCGGTTCCCCTCTTTCATTCCACTGCAATTTTGTTAACTAAAGGGCAAATTTCTAACAATGAAATACACAAATGTTAGTTTTTGGGCCTTTTAATATCGTATCCTATTTGTATTTGAGAGTTTTAATGTCCAATCCAACCAACATTTGGCAGTGTACGGGCAGCCAACCCATAGAAAATCGAGAAGCCCCTAAAACCAGAGAGCAACTGTATTCGACCGCCATTTAGCGGTTGACTCTTTCGTTTCGTGTCTTGCAGACATACCTGATCTCCCCAATTGTGCGTCGTGGCCCTAAAACCACAAGTCGAGCCGATGATAGCCAAGCACTTGTCCTATTAAACTTACCCAGCAAAATTATTAAGTCAGATCTTGGATCATTAGGAAAAACCGACAAGGTCATGCATCCAGACTTGTATTGCGTATTCATTGTTTACTCAATGGAGCAATCGCGTGGGGGGAGGGAGGTGTTGGGGGACCTTCTGATGGTCCTAGCGCTCCACGGATACTTGCTTCATTTCCATGAAGTCGGAGCAGCACGCTTCTGAGCTTTTGGCTAGTAACGATGTGCGGAGTATGGGATAGGTATTTTTATATCCTATTCCATTCCATTGCCAACACTCTTTTCATCAATCCAGTAATGGCCTCGAGAGTTTATAATACAGCCGGAAAACGCTCAGTCAGAGACTGTCGAATCACCAAACGAGGCGGTCACTATTTCAAGAGTTCTGATTTTGCAGATTTTCAATTTGTCTTAATCTCTAAGCACGTGCTGGAGACTCTTGTGGCCTTGCCGCACCCCAAATATTTTTGGTAAAAATGTGTCCCATGGATACCTATACACTGTTCGTCACCACATGCTGAATGCGATTCAGGGCGACATTTTCTAATGTCTCCTCGGACCGAATCACGATCCTTTAAAAAACATAAAATGCCTCAAGTATTTTGCTCTTTATATAGGTGTTTTCCACACTTGCCAACTAACAGAGGGGGTTTTTAGTGGTACCTGGTTTTCCTTCTATCTCGGTTGGCTTACGCATTAAAAGTCCACTTTGATTAATCCTACAAAATATGTGCTGTGGTTGGACAAAAGTAAGAGCTTATTTACATTCTACGTTCCCCGCCGTAGGTAGAGCTAGATCTGCTTGAGCCATCGCAGGGTCTCTCTCTGGATGTTTCCATCGGCTTCCTTCTTCGGATCACTAACCTCGCAGACATTGTCATCTTCAGCACACCCATCAACCTGGCTTCACTGGAAAAGGAGACCGGCATGGCTCCTGGTGGCATCCTCCGCCAGTGTCTTCGCCTAGGTACCCCCTCCATTTGGTTATCCTCTCTTGTATTGAACGCATTACTGTTACTTCTTCTGATTGTTTTAAACGCCTTTTTGCGGGTCTCGAGTAGGTAAAAAGCGGTTCAATAGCACTAATGGTGTTTGGGACTG